CCACAGAGAACAAGGTATCAATCACATTCTATAATCCTATATTGAGGTTCTGCCACCCAGCTAAGCTGTTTTATAGCAACTAAGCTGCTTTCTTCAGGTGAAAAACCTCACAGAAGAGATGGCAGGTCTGGATGAAACCATCGCTAAGCTGACCAAGGAGAAGAAGGCTCTCCAGGAGGCTCACCAGCAGACCTTGGATGACCTGCAGGCAGAGGAGGACAAAGTCAACACCCTGACCAAAGCTAAAATCAAGCTGGAACAGCAAGTGGATGATGTAAGCCTAGTATCATCAAGGAAATTATTTTCTTCTAAAGGAAGATGAGCATTCCTTCTGATTCAACGTTATTTATATTTAGCTTGAAGGGTCCTTGGAGCAAGAAAAGAAACTTCGCATGGACCTAGAAAGGGCTAAGAGGAAACTTGAGGGTGACTTGAAGTTGGCCCAAGAGTCCATAATGGACATCGAAAATGAGAAACAACAACTTGATGAAAAGCTCAAAAAGTAAGTAAGAAAGAATTGCTTACGGATTTGCTTCCAACATTAGATATGGACTAAACTGTTGTCCTTTGCTACTTTTCTATAAGGAAAGAGTTTGAAATCAGCAATCTGCAAAGCAAGATTGAAGATGAACAGGCACTTGGTATTCAATTGCAGAAGAAAATTAAAGAATTGCAAGTAAGTACATGATTTTCATCAGTCTGGCTCAGAGGCAGAGTTATGACGCAAAGAAGCTGAGTTTGTATTTTCACTATTCCCAGGCCCGCATTGAGGAGCTGGAGGAGGAAATCGAGGCAGAGCGGGCCTCCAGGGCCAAAGCAGAGAAGCAGCGCTCTGACCTCTCCCGGGAGCTGGAGGAGATCAGCGAGAGGCTGGAAGAAGCCGGTGGGGCCACTTCAGCCCAGATTGAGATGAACAAGAAGAGGGAGGCTGAGTTCCAGAAAATGCGCAGGGACCTGGAGGAGGCCACCCTACAGCATGAAGCCACAGCGGCCACGCTGAGGAAGAAGCACGCAGATAGTGTGGCCGAGCTTGGGGAGCAGATTGATAACCTGCAGCGGGTAAAGCAGAAGCTGGAGAAGGAGAAGAGTGAGATGAAGATGGAGATCGATGACCTTGCTAGTAATGTAGAAACGATCTCCAAAGCCAAGGTAGTACAAATTCTGGGACACAGTTATTGACAATAATGCATTATGGACACAACACAGTTTGCACGGGGCACTTTTTACACATTAAGTCATTTGTTAATTGCAGCAATTCAGGGAAGTAAGCACAAAAAAATAGTATTTTTATTATTTCCATTTAACAAATAAAGGAGCAGAAATGCAAAGAAAAGAGGCTAAGCACTTTGACCCATCACCCCATTAACAAATGAGAACACCAGCTTTTGAACACAGACCATCTGTGTTCTCCAAGTCCCCAGTTAGAGAACAAAGGTCTCCAACAATTCCAAGTACCCAATAAGGAAAGATGCATCATACATAAAGGCAGTGAGGTATTTTGGAACATGCTTTTAGAAAATGTACAATATACAATTCTAACAAAATCTTAAAATTAGAACATAACCTTAAAATGTTTACATTAATATTGAACAGAGCTTCACGATTAGCTTTCATAAAATATAAGAAAAATTCTTATGCATTGCATTACATATACTTTTGTTTATTTTATATATCAAGATGTTGTATTTAATATACAAATATACATACATTTATATATTACGTACTGTATTTTGTATTTCAGGGAGAAGTTATAGCAACTGCAAAGGTGATTATTATTAGCTTAAAAGGTCTCTGTTTCTTTCTTTTACTTTTTCTTATACAGGGAAACCTAGAGAAAATGTGCCGGACTCTAGAGGACCAAATGAGTGAACTGAAATCAAAGGAAGAGGAGCAGCAGCGGCTGATCAATGACCTCACAGCGCAGAGGGGACGCCTGCAGACTGAATCTGGTAATTCTCCCCAGTTCTGTGGTGCTTCAGGGTGAAGATGATGTGGTTAAGAGCAAATGATTCGGTGATGTGGGAGCCTAATAAAAGCAGCTGAGAACATGTATGATTCACCGAAGGGCTCAGATAGCTCACCTGACCTATGTGCAAGGTCGTCTGGGGGCAATGCTGGAGATAAAGGTTTCAGTAGTACAGGATCAAGCTCTGTTCCAGAAAGGCCTTGAGTATTTGCTCACTGCGAGGACATTGGGATTAGGGGTTACTCCAGTATGAGTCCAGGGATTCTGTTTCAAGCCAAGTTTCTTTTCATTTATATTAAGGTCAACTAACTTCTGGAATGGGGCAATGAATAACCCAGTCTCTCAAAAGTCCTATGGAATGGGGACTCTGTAGAATTAGACATTTTCGCTTACTAGTTTGACAGACATCACCAGGTTTTGTACAATACAATATAATCCTGAAAGAGTTATGGAAAAGACAAAAAGAATTTAAGCTGTATTTATTCATTCTGATTGCTCTGAAAGTTTCACTGTAAAAACTGAACACTTGGCATTGAGCATGAAGATGTCAATATAGAATTCAATCATCTGAGCACTTGATTTGGAAAAGTAAGATTTAAAATTTCTTTCTAACATGGGCTTGCAGCATCTTTTCTTTTTTTTCACTTAAAAAACAGTAGCATTTCTTTTGTCCATCAGGTGAATTTTCGCGCCAGCTTGATGAAAAGGAAGCTCTGGTGTCTCAGTTATCAAGGGGCAAACAAGCCTTTACTCAACAGATTGAAGAACTAAAGAGACAACTTGAAGAGGAGATAAAAGTAATTATGATTCTAAGACTGATTTTTCCCCCGTGAGCTGATTCTACCTGGAGCCTGTTATACCAGTTTTCAAAAGGTTTTGAAAGATAAGAATTAAATATTTAAATATCCAGTAAAATGAAGGCGTAACTGTCTCCATAGGCCAAGAACGCCCTGGCACATGCCCTGCAGTCCTCCCGCCATGACTGCGACCTGCTGCGGGAACAGTATGAGGAAGAGCAGGAATCCAAGGCTGAGCTGCAGAGGGCGCTGTCCAAGGCCAACACTGAGGTTGCCCAGTGGAGGACCAAATACGAGACGGACGCCATCCAGCGCACAGAGGAGCTGGAGGAGGCCAAGTATGTGCACAGATATGAGAGAATGAGGAGAAAACTTTGCATATTGAATCAGAAAGACATCACCTTTGAGGATTCATTGAATTAGTTCTCAAATTCTCATTCATTGGCTTCTATGTGCCAGTCACAATCAGGCCCTGAGAATAAGACATGAATAAATCAAATATGGTCCCTGCCTTATTATCCTGAAATCTAGTTAAGAAAACAAAGAAAAGCAAATAACTACACTGATAATTAGGGGATTTATTGCTGTTTGTCAGTCACACTGAACTCCTTGCTGCTTCAGGGGCTTCTACCTACTGTTCCCTCTGAAATACTCTCCACAGATTTCCCTTTGGCTCACTCTCTGGCTTCTCTTAGCTCTTGACTCAAATATTACCTCTTCATGGAGGTCTTCACTGAATACCTAGAGTAGTTACCCACTATTTACCCTATTTTATTTTGCTTCCCTGCCCTTCTATCTGTAAGGTATTATTATGGATGTTCTGACTGGCTTATTGTTTATCTGTCTCGCTTGTTTATGATCTTCACGTGGCAGAGACCTTTTTTGTCTGGATCACTGCTGTGTAGCCAGTGTCTGGTTCATAAAAGGGGCTCATCAACATATGTTGAAAGAATGAAAGGTGGATGAGCAACATTAATATAAAGTTGCCAATACTCTCCAGTGTGTATGGCCATAGCTCATAATTCATATTATGGTTCACTTCTCTCTGAAAACATGTATAATCTTCAAGGAAGAAGCTGGCCCAGCGGCTGCAGGCTGCTGAGGAACATGTAGAAGCTGTGAACGCCAAATGTGCTTCCCTTGAAAAGACAAAGCAGCGGCTGCAGAATGAGGTCGAGGACCTCATGCTTGACGTGGAGAGAACAAACGCTGCCTGTGCTGCCCTTGACAAAAAGCAAAGGAACTTCGATAAGGTAATTCCTCCAGCATCCTCTGCCCTGTACTATATTCCTTTGTCTTTACAGCAGGTAACAGGTCTTGGTTTTTCAGGTCCTGGCAGAATGGAAACAGAAATATGAGGAAACGCATGCTGAGCTCGAGGCCTCCCAGAAGGAGGCCCGTTCCCTTGGCACTGAACTGTTCAAGATGAAGAATGCCTATGAGGAATCTTTGGATCAGCTAGAAACCCTGAAGCGAGAGAACAAAAACTTACAGCGTGAGTCCCTATCACATTTAATAATATTCATAACTTGGAAGAATCTCTCTCTTACATCACATGTTTAAGCTAATCCCTACCTGTCTTTTACTCAAATAACAGAGGAGATTTCTGACCTCACGGAGCAGATTGCAGAAGGAGGGAAACGTATCCATGAACTGGAGAAAATAAAGAAACAAGTGGAACAAGAGAAGTGTGAACTTCAGGCTGCTTTAGAAGAAGCAGAGGTACATGCCAAATTGTGCATAATAAACAAATTTGGAAAAGAATTAAGTACATTTGCATAGAGTGAATAAAAAGGCACAACACAAAATTGTTGGTGTGCAGAAAAACTTCAGAAAGCTTTCGGTTCCTTGTTCATGTCACCTCTTGCTGTCCTTAAGGCATCTCTTGAACATGAAGAGGGAAAGATCCTGCGCATCCAGCTTGAGTTGAACCAAGTCAAGTCTGAGGTCGATAGGAAAATTGCTGAAAAAGATGAGGAAATTGACCAGCTGAAGAGAAACCACATTAGAGTCGTGGAGTCGATGCAGAGCACGCTGGATGCTGAGATCAGGAGCAGGAATGATGCCATCAGGCTCAAGAAGAAGATGGAGGGAGACCTCAATGAAATGGAAATCCAGCTTAACCATGCCAACCGCATGGCTGCCGAGGCCCTGAGGAACTACAGGAACACCCAAGGCATCCTCAAGGTAAATGGGTCCAAGACATGGTCCCAGGACAATTGGGTGCCTGTGACCCTAAGAACATGGTGTCTCAATGACGGTTTGTTCCACAGGATACCCAGATCCACCTGGATGATGCTCTTCGGAGTCAGGAAGACCTGAAGGAGCAGCTGGCCATGGTGGAGCGCAGAGCCAACCTGCTGCAGGCTGAGATTGAGGAGCTGCGGGCCACTCTGGAACAGACAGAGAGGAGCAGGAAAATCGCAGAACAGGAGCTCCTGGATGCCAGTGAGCGTGTCCAGCTCCTCCACACCCAGGTGGGATTTAGCACAAAGAACTCTCCTAGAGTAAATTTTATGTGTCCCAGAAATAGATAAGCCTGAATTTTTATAAGACAGCCAGGCCTTATATGTCTACCAAATTTTCTTTTCAAATAATACTAAATAGGAATTCTGTATTATTGAGAAATCTTTCACTGTTTTGCTTTGAAAAATTATTGTTGATTCACTTCGTTTAATATTTTAAGGTTGCCCCATATTCCATTGTGTTAATATCTTTATTGGCCCTCATTATCAATATTCACATTTTATTGTGGAGAAATGGAATGTTATGAACATGTTTATTATACTTTTATCCCTGTGAATGGTCTACTGGTAAAGAGCTATTTGGTCTACTTGTAACCTCTGCACTTGAAATACTGAATATTCTATAACATTTCTATTTTATGGAGTTGTACTATGTAACACAATCCTTTAATTCTTTAATATTAAAGGATATTTTTTGACTTGCAAATTTTAATCTGAATTTTCTTCAAGTGGTTACCAATAAATGTACAAATTTTTTTTAAACAGAACACCAGCCTGATCAACACCAAGAAGAAGCTGGAGACAGACATTTCCCAAATGCAAGGAGAGATGGAGGACATTCTCCAGGAAGCCCGCAATGCAGAAGAGAAGGCCAAGAAGGCCATCACTGATGTGAGTGGCAGGCATAGTTCTCCACCGATTTAGCTGTAAGATTTCCTGACATCTATAACTTTCTTGGTTTTCTTAATTTATTTTGCTAATTAGGCCGCCATGATGGCTGAGGAGCTGAAGAAGGAGCAGGACACCAGCGCCCACCTTGAGCGGATGAAAAAGAACATGGAGCAGACAGTGAAGGACCTGCAGCTCCGTCTAGATGAGGCTGAGCAGCTGGCCCTGAAGGGTGGGAAGAAGCAGATCCAGAAACTGGAGGCCAGGGTGGGTCTCCCAATATCTGTTGATTTCCATGTGCTTTTGGTGCCTTATTAGATCAAAGTTCTTAATAGTCTACTTATTTGTAGGTACGTGAGCTGGAAGGAGAGGTTGAGAGTGAGCAAAAGCGTAATGTTGAGGCCGTCAAAGGTCTGCGAAAACATGAGAGGCGAGTGAAGGAACTCACTTACCAGGTACGGCAGTAGTTTTTAGCAGCTAAGCACTGGTCAAAGTCTATGTGAAAGACTCATATGCAATGAAGCAATAGTCATGTGCTTCAGTAACTAAGGCCCTGAACTTTTTATAATCTTTCAGACGGAGGAAGATAGAAAAAATATTCTCAGGCTTCAAGATTTGGTAGATAAGCTTCAGGCAAAAGTGAAATCTTACAAGAGACAAGCTGAGGAGGCTGTAAGTATTTTTAAGATGGAAGTCCTCAAATTAAGCTAATAATTACTACCTCGTATAGTAAATAAACTGTTTGCTTTATAGAATACTGTGTGCATACTTAATGTTTGTTTTTGTACAATAATTATGTACCATTTGTAATATTAATAGCTTCATTTTAAAAGTAAACTTTCAATCTACCAAGAAACCTGAAAAAAATTAAAAGCAGAAATAATACAGGCCATATTCTCTGGCCACAGTATGATGGAATTGTAAAGTGATGGCAAAATACAAAGAAAAATCCCTAGGTACTTAACTATTTAAAAAACTAACTTTCTTAAATAACTCCAGGGTTAAAGTGAAAATAAAAACATAATTACTAAATAATTATTAATTATAAGTAAAATCACAAGGAAGATGGTACTTTTACAAACCTACAGAAAACTATGCTTGGAGACTAATTCACTGCTTTAAATGCTTTCATTTTGAACCAAAAGCAAAAATAGACAGTCCAATAAAAATTATGAATGATAATAAAACGGTAGAAGTACTGTTAAAAATATAAGTAAAAATTGGTGAATTAGAGTATACTATTTTCTACTTGATAATTTCAATAGTATTAGTAACTTCTGGGGAATTAATAAATGTACTTACAACTAGTTTAATCCAGGAAAATGAAGGAGAAAATACAAACAACCCTAGAAATGAGAAAGGGAATAAGCTATACACATAGAGGATTACTTTTTAATATAAAACATAAATCTATCAATAAAAAATTCATGATTTTTTATTGAAAAAATTGATGATTTTTCTAGGAGAATATAAATTACCAAGTTGGCTGAATTACTTCTGGAAATGGACCCAAGTCCAGAAAGGTCTTTTAAAATTTCAAGGAACAGATAATCCCCCAGCTATGTAAGCTGTTCAAGAGCATAGGAAAAGATGGAAAGCTGTCCAGTTCATTTTAAGAAGCTCATATAACCCTCATACCAAAGCCTGTCCAAGAGAGAACAGAGGGAGAAAAACTAAAGGCAGTTTTACTCATGAAGACAGTTACAGCAAAGATAAATTACTAAGTAGTAAAAGTCTTACTTTATTAGAGGAATTGTCTTCCAGTGATTGCTTAATTCTTAGAATATAAAGATTACCTAATATTAGGCAATCTGTCAGAAGAATCATTACATCCAACGCAGAGGGGATAAAAGTAACCATTTTGAAATGTGCCAAAACGACATATGACAAAGTCCAATATTAACTTCAATTTTTAAAAACTTAATAAATTCATCCTTAATATGATAAAAAATCTAACTCAAGTGAAAGTTATACAGCAAGCATTAATAACCATGACTTTAATATTCTTGCCTTCCTCTCTAAGCTTATATATTTTTTCTTATTCTACTTGTGGTACATATACATGTTTTGGTTGCCAAAATAGGGATGTGAGATATATATATATATATATATATATATATATGTGACACCAAGGCCCCAAATAAATCTTAAAATTAATTTCAATGATAAGCCCTAGGTGTTGCTTCTCCACAGACGCCAAGCCCTTTCTTCTCTTAGGTCTGAAGAGTCTAGAAAGATGCAAGAATGAGTTCCTTACAATTTCATTTTTATTCTCAGGAGGAACAATCCAACACCAATCTAGCTAAATTCCGCAAGCTCCAGCACGAGCTGGAGGAGGCCGAGGAACGGGCTGACATTGCTGAGTCCCAGGTCAACAAACTGCGGGTGAAGAGCCGGGAGGTTCACACAAAAATCATAAGTGAAGAGTGATCATGTACTGATGCCATGGAATGACTGAACACAGGCACAAAATGTGACATATTTGGTCATTTCCTGCTGTAATTATTATGTATTCTACCCTGTTGCAAAGGAAATAAAGCATAGGGTAGTTTGCAAACAATATCCTTAGACTGGTCTTGTCTTTTTTCTCTTCCCTGAAGCCATGTCAAGTTTGAATAGTCACAGAGCTGTCAAGCAATCATGTTCAATCAGCGACTAAGAAGTATTTATGTATTCACTTTTATTTTGTGTCTACAGCAACACTTAAGGCATCACTTATCAAGAAAGACTGTCTAAGGAACAGGTATCTGGAGGCCAGTTTTATTTCTTTCCAACCTTTCCTGATATCTGGGTGCAGTAAAATCTTAGAAAGCTCCTGTGGGCCGGGCACAGTGGCTCACACCTGTAATCCCAGCACTTTGAGGGGCTGAGGCGGGAGGATCATGAGGTCAAGAGATCCAGACCTTCCTGGACAACATGGTGAAACCCCATCTCTACTAAAAATACAAAAATTAGCCTTGTGTGGTGGTGGGCACCTGTAGTCACAGCTGCTCAGGAGGATGAGGCAGGAGAAATGCTTGAACCAAGGAGGCAGAGGTGGCAGTAAGCCGAGATCACGCCACTGCACTCCAGCTTGGCGACAGAGTGAGACACCGACTCAAAAAATATAGAAAAAGAGAAAAAGCTCCTGCTTCCCCTACCATGAACCTTTTTCAGGATGGTACTTGCTATTCACATAGGGGATTCAAATGGAATTGTATTATTAATTCTCCTTGTTGAATAACTGTTATCAAGAATATAAATCTAAAATATTCTTAATTAGCCCACGGATATTTACATTATTCATTCCAATATGCCATATGCCCACAGTATGTGCACTGGGTAATGGGTTTGACATGACCTTGCTCTTCATGAAACAAGTTTCAAAATTAAATTAAATATTATTAAATATGATTCTTCTCCCTATGAAAACTACAGGGTGTCTATCAAATCTGGAGACATAGAGAATATTATTTTACGTGTTATAATGTAGCATCCATGAGCTATTAGCCTACGTTTCCAGTCCAAAGTAGATTATTCAAATGTATATTCAACACACATGATGGTTATGAGTTTGGTACAAAAAGTAGATATTGTAGCAATCTGGACTACTCAGAGACGTTTTCCTAGAGGATCAATATTTTTAGACTGGACGTAGCTGAGATGCATAGCCAAAAATATAACCTTCCTGGACAGAATAAAGGAAAAGCTAAATGGTAACTCCCCATCAAATAGAAAGTAAGAGTATCTTGATCTAAATGGCATTGTGTGAAAATGATGTAAATTAGACATGGTAGTTTAAGAGGTAAGTTGGGTCCACACTGTCACAGTAGCCCTAGAAAGGGTGTGAAATTGCTCTTCTCACTGAATAGGCCCCTCTTTCACTTTGTCCCTGTATCACCTGGAAATGCTTAAGTGCTTTATAACATAGCAGTAATAAACAAAAACAAATCTTACTTTCTACTTATTGAAAAGTTTATCCAGAGCAAGACAAAAGGTTGTCTGAAAATTCCCATCAAATCCTGTTGAGACCATTATTGAAATGTTCTGTTTTCCTGAAAATTGTTACCCACATTTTGCAGGTGCCTAGTAAAGAAATGGACATGTAAGAAAGTAAAATTATGTACCTGTGGTAACAACACAGGCTAATAGATGGCTAGGAAAGGCCCCCTCAGACGCACATCCTTGCAATACCCTTCCTGATGGCTTTAATCTACCCCAGGTAGAAGAGTGTCAAAAGCAAATACATTGGACTGCAAGTTAGGTGACCAGAATCTAAACTGCTGTGTGATTTGTGGAGATTCTCTTCTATTATTTGGATCTCGGTTGCTTTCTTAGTAAAATCAGGAATATGAATTAGATGATCCCTTATGGTAATAAAACCATGTGACCTTTACAACTAGTATCTCCAGATATCTGGTTTCATAAGGTAAGCTAGGGCCATTAAATCAATTGAAATATAAGTACAATAATACAGAGGTGGGTGCAAAACCAGGTTTATTAAGCAAATGTGGTCCCAGTCCTCGTTCAGACAATGCTGACAGGGAGAGATGTAAAGCCACAAAGACAATAAAATAAACTTTTCTAAAAATTAAAATAAAAATAAAAAACAATCTTCAGGTATTGTTTGTAAGCAAAATACTAAATATACAGCATGGACAGCTAATAGAGGAAAAATCATCGATGCTGCATATTTAGATAGAACAAAGGCCCTGTTTCCAATATGTTCTTATGTTGAGTTTCATAGAGTAAACAAGATTTCACAAGCAACTTGCACTTCGAAAGAAATGAGAGAAGCAGGACATCTCTGCTTGGCAAGACAATGTAATTTTGGAGCAAGTTTGAAGTGCAAGTGGAATGATCTGACAATGAATCAGAGGTGAATGACTGAAGGAAACAAAAGAAGCTATCTTTGGCTGATCTTCATGAAGCAGTTTCAAAATTAAATTTCTAAGCATCCTAGAAAAAGCACAATAAATTGCAAAAAAAAAAAAAAAAAAGAAAAGAAATCTTTTTTAGAGAAAGCAACAACGTTTTTTTAACACTCTGATAAACAGCAGAAGCTTTCCTCCCTAGTATACTATCTGTAACTCTGCAGGCAGTTGAAAAGACTTCACACAGCAGACTGTGAAACAGAAGAGCAGCAGGCAACAAAGTCCAGGGATTCCAGAACTTAGCTGTCTTTGAAACAACACCTTACATTATTCCAAAGGCCAACAGCTTTAAGATTGCCAACAACTCAAATTATTTATAGGAGATTGATTCATATACTTAACCCAATGTGAGAGGAAATATTTCTAATTATATCCAAACATCTTTAATATGAGGGGAATTAGGCTTGGAGACCTTCAATGCCAAAAGCATGTTTTGCCAAATATGTTTTAAGAAAGAGGAGGAGGTTAAGTGTTTTCCATATTTGATCCTATAAAAGTACCCTTGGAATGAGTATGACTTGTCTCTCCTCATAAAGCTTCAAGGTAAGTGTGTGTGAGGACAGGGCTCTGTCTGGGGAACCGTAAGGGATGTCTGGCTGCCCACATGCATGCCACACATCCTGGCTCCCACTGTCCCTGGCAGCCCTGCCAGTGAAGCACCAGCTTACTCTGTAACAATTTTAATTAGATGTTGTAGTCTTCCCAGTCATTTCCTGGTTCTCAGTTAAGAATTATTCTATAATTGTTATCATTTAATCAGAAGACATTTGCTCTTTTTTTTTTTTTTTTTTTTTTTTTTTTTTTTTTTGCAGTTCTGACCCACTTTAAGGTCGCATCTCTAAGGTAAGATTCTGACTTTTTTCTCATTCCTCACGGAGTGCAAGGAATCTTCTGCAGTGACTTGGACAGTGGGGCTGGGGGGCTAGGAGAGTGATAAAAAATCATTTCCATTTCATGGTCAATTGTGCTTCTTAGAAAACAGAGAATGACTTTAGAAACTGGTTCTCATTAACTCATATCCTTTGCAATATATGAAAATGCTTTCTCAGAGTCTTTGGGAATTTTATTCACAATTTTGTCTATTTCCAGCATTGTAGTTTATCTTTTAAATGACTGCATTACAACATGCAATGCAACACTTCAAAGTGTTACTCAATTATAAAGAAAATTTAAATTTTCTATACTATGTCTTTTCCTCAGCACTATAAATATAAAAAACTAAGAGAGATGATGTCTAAATGGATAAATAGAATGGTCTGAATCTTTGCCTTGGAAAAGTTGCTTAAATCTGCATGTTGTTTCACAATCTGTAAAATAAAAATGAATATATATATATACACACACACACACACACAATATGAAACATGATTGTGAGTATTTTCAGCAAGATGAAGCATTTTAATTATGTTATCTGAGTCAATATAGTTTCAATGAGAAAAATGTGAAAAAAAAATGTATCCAAATAAGCTTTCCTGGAAAAGGTATCTTTATTATTACAAAGCAGAATATATATGAAAAGTATTGATAGCATTAGTGAATGCTAGTTAATGTGGCAAGAGGTAGATCCTGAAAAGAACAAGTTTTGTGAAATTGTTATCAAAATATTAACAATAAAGCAAGAAAACATAGGCAATAATGTTTTATAATAAGTATTTGAGAAATGCTAAAGACCAGTGAAGAAGCTGAGTTTGTCAAAATTATACAGAAACAACAGAAATTGATGTATAATAGAATATTTTTAACAATGCAAAACAAAGATCCATGCATTTCTGCTTTCCTTTATATTAGTCTTTGTAACTGCCAAGTTTATGATGAAAATATTTCCATCATGCACAGAATGGTTCCTAAAATTATAGCAACATATTCCTATTGTTCTTTTAATTCACCAAGCCAGCTTTGAGTCCTTCTCTGTGTCCAGCATGTGTTCTAAGAGGTGTGAAAGATACCATAAAAAGAAGAGTGCTCCCTGCCTGCAAGGCGCTTATAATCCAATTGGGAAGATGAAATGATGAGTGAAAGAACTAGAGATGACCCTGCCACCATCGTAGCTTTATGTTCTCTATAAGCCAATGATAGGCAGCTTATAAAGATTAATATACATATGGAACAGAGAAAGCAGTTAAGAGACTGCAGTAGGTGAACCAGAAACAAGTCTCATTCCAAATGCATAATTAAGTATCTGTCAGCACTGGCACAGAACAAAGAGACTGACATTTTATCCTCCACCAAGCCAGGGAGGTGGTCATACCCAATGCAATGCTAGGCACTCAACTGGTCAGTAAATTTTTTAAAAAAAGTTTAAAATGTAAACCTAATGATCCAGTTTCTGAAATTCTATAATTTCTTTTCTTCCTCTGCCAGACAGGGTCCTTTATTGGGCTGCCATCAATAACCTGCAGCCATGAGTTCTGACTCAGAGATGGCCGTTTTTGGGGAGGCTGCTCCTTTCCTCCGAAAGTCTGAAAAGGAGCGAATTGAAGCTCAGAACAAGCCTTTTGATGCCAAGACATCAGTCTTTGTGGCAGACCCGAAGGAATCCTTTGTGAAAGCAACAGTGCAGAGCAGGGAAGGGGGGAAGGTGACAGCCAAGACTGAAGCTGGAACTGTGAGTAGAACATCTGGAGCTGATTAGACTCTGCCTCATTTTGGGTTAGGTTGGCAGACACTAAGTTTTTGACTTGGCCTCTCTTGTTTGACTGGACAGACTGTCACGGTGAAAGACGACCAAGTCTATCCTATGAACCCTCCCAAATATGACAAGATCGAGGACATGGCCATGATGACTCACCTGCATGAGCCTGCTGTGCTGTACAACCTCAAAGAGCGCTACGCAGCCTGGATGATCTATGTGAGTTCTTTCTCATGGTCTTCTACTCATGAGAGTAGCTAATAGTTTTTGAAAAGTAGTAGATGATTAAGGTCCCCATCAAATAATTCTGTTCCCCTTTTTTTCTTGGATGCAGACCTACTCAGGCCTGTTCTGTGTCACTGTCAACCCCTACAAGTGGCTGCCGGTGTATAACGCAGAGGTGGTGGCTGCCTACCGAGGCAAAAAGCGCCAGGAGGCTCCGCCCCACATCTTCTCCATCTCTGACAACGCCTATCAGTTCATGCTGACCGGTGAGTGGCTCAGAGGGTTTTCATGTGAATTATTTTACCACTCATAATCATAAAACGTTAGAACTAAAAAAGACATTTAGAAAAAAAGACATTTAGAAAAAAATCCAATCCACCCCCCCGGTTGTTCAGCAGAGGTGACTAAAGCACAAAGAAATATATGTTGTCAAAGCTGGTATTAAAACTCAGCTCTCCTGACTGCACCTCCCTGTCTCTACTAGGCCACGCTGTTGCTGCATCCATTAAATTTGTTTATGGTCTCCTTGCTTGGAAATACACAATTTATTTCATATATTTAAGTAATAAGAGCCAAGATTCAGTAACAACTGAATCATATATTATCTGCATAGAAGTGAAAAATAGGAGTTCAATCCTTTCAGTGCCTTGGTTTCTTGTTAATTATGAATTAGATACTTTTACAAGTACTGTGATCTCTTTAAAGTCGTCAGAGTACATCTCAGAGATGATATCCTCTGTTTTAATGAAGATGGTGTTTTGGGGCTACACACATATAAATAAAAGTTGTTTCCCCTCTTAGAGAGATTTTATTTTGATTGTGGCATCCTCTCTTACCCTTAATCTTTCTTTAACACAGTGGTACACTTTTGGGAAGGCTGATTAAAGTTGGGGCCATAAGACACTGAATTTTTTTCTCTTTGTGAGGTCAATTGACACATTTAGAAATGAAATCTCAATCATGGCTTGATTAACACTATTTCAATCTATTAAATGACAGTCTAAGACTTTAGCATATTATGCATTTTGCAGCTATATGCATTAATCAGCAGACAGCATACCACTGAAATCTACAGATGACAACTAGGGAATGTATCTAGCTCTGGGGAATACTGCTCTATATTAAACCAATAGCAGGACACACTTACTTTCTGTATTAACTTAAGGTATTTAAGATATGACATCTTGTATGTATCTTTCCCAATTTAAGAGGCCTAAGTATAATAGCATAACTTTACCACAATATATGGAAAAACACCATTGAATACATGACACTTATACTCAAATGCCCTGTTTCCCTATAGAAAGTTTAGTTTGTGAAACCGATACATATGCTGATTGTCTACTGTTTTTCTTTTAGATCGGGAGAATCAGTCTATCTTGATCACGTATGTATTCCTATTCTGAGATCTACTGGCAGTTCATTCTTACTGGAAAAATGACAAACCAAAAGAAGAAATTAGCTAATGCTCCCTACTAAATGAATAACCTGAAACTAGTATTGGTTTAGCATTATTATAAGGTTTAGTTTGCATTAGAATGTAAAATAATAATGTTCCAAATCACCTCATTTGCTAGTTCAGTCTCGAAAGTTCCACAGAGCTTTTCGGTGAGTAGAAAGTATAAAATGAGCTTGGCTGGAACGCAGTACAGTGCAGTGAGCAGCATACAGCCTTCTAAAGGAACAGCACTTTGGAAATATTACTAGTGGTTCATTTTTAAGGTCCAGTTAGAGAATGTCTATTTCTTCAAAGACCAAACTTGAGCCATGTTTGTAGTCTAAGGAAACAGAAGAACACATGCATGTTTCGTAGAGCTTCCTACTAACTGTTCCATTCACTATAGAGGTGTTAAGCAGTTGCTTTTTAGACCCCACAAACCCAGGCCTCAGCACCCAGAAAAAAAGCTGACACATTATAAACGCTCAAGAAATATGTGTTAAATTAATAATGACTGATTTTTTTCTACTTCTTGTCAGTGCAAAGCAATATAAATAATATGAGCTATATGTAGGCTGAAAAGACAGATGTAAAAGGTTCTCTGATAGAGATATAAAGACAAAGGCATGAGGTAGTTATAGTTTCATTTGTCACAGTGCTTAATTTCTCACATGTCTGGTCTTTGACAGTGGAGAATCTGGTGCAGGGAAGACTGTGAACACCAAGCGTGTCATCCAGTACTTTGCAACAATTGCAGTTACTGGGGAGAAGAAGAAGGAAGAGCCTACTTCTGGCAAAATGCAGGTGAGTCTGATTGTCACAGTCAGAATATAGGCTTTGTCGGGACTCTCAGGTAGGAAATTCCCAAGCCCCAGATGCAAGGACTGCTCTTTCCCTTGCAGGGGACTCTGGAAGATCAAATCATCAGTGCCAACCCCCTACTGGAGGCCTTTGGCAATGCCAAGACCGTGAGGAATGACAACTCCTCTCGCTTTGTAAGTGTCCTGGTTGCCAAGGGTCTTCTCAAGCATGTCAGAATTATTTCAATGGCATCCCTACTACATGCTTCAAGCTTTGGATATAACATCATCTTTTTTACTTACAAGGGTAAATTCATCAGGATCCACTTCGGTGCCACAGGGAAACTGGCTTCTGCTGATATTGAAACATGTGAGTAACAGGACCTCCTAAATAGAATCCAAGAATGACAAACGATGGTTTGGAGGAACACTCTGCAGCTCCTGCTGAACATGGAGCTTGTAAAGCACCAGTCTGCTGCCAAACATGCTTGTGGTTAATGTCAGTCTTATCCGCAGCCCACAGTGTGCTTTACCCTCTCCAGTCATGAGCTAATGCTTCTGTGGGAACTGCCAGAAACTGCTGGGTATGTCCAAAGTATTCCAGGCCTCAGAATGACTTCAAATTTTTCTAAGAAAAAATAACACTAGGAGTAAACAAGTTGTCCGGGGGTTGAGGATATGTGACTTCTTCCTAGTCTGAGCTTTAATACAGTTGCTCTTAATAGTCCCCCTATTATATAGTGACAGGACCCTGCAGAGGGAGTCTCAGGACTCAATTATATTCCTTATGTCAAGGATCTTCTGTATGAGAAGTGAATGTGTCTTGAGTCAAGCATATTTCACATTTTTCCCAGGAGGTAGGAGGAACTGCAATAGTGTTTGTAGAGATATAATATGTGGTACCTCACAGGAACATTCAGCTGAAATCTCAAGAGGCTAATGAGATTTAGTTAATGATCCCAAGTCCCAAAATCACTCCAGGACACTTTGTAATTTTTTCCCGTAATCTGATGTCTACAATCTGTTGCAGATCTTCTGGAGAAGTCTAGAGTTACTTTCCAGCTAAAGGCTGAAAGAAGCTACCATATTTTTTATCAGATCATGTCTAACAAGAAGCCAGATCTAATTGGTAAGAAATAACTTAAATTCATAGGCTAAAAGGTTGTCACTTTACTATCCTCTAATGTAAAACATATGCCCTGAATTCTGTGACCCAGAAATGCTCCTGATCACCACCAACCCATATGACTATGCCTACGTCAGTCAGGGGGAGATCACAGTGCCCAGCATTGATGACCAAGAAGAGCTGATGGCTACAGATGTAAGTTATACAGGAATTTTAATTTAAAATCCGTTATGCATGAGAAAGGCAATAACAGCCGGCTATATGTGTGTGAAGGATACAGTATAAATTCTTTTGTGTCCCAATCTTTGTCTTTCATTTCTCCTGGTAGAGTGCCATTGACATCCTAGGCTTCACTTCAGATGAAAGAGTGTCCATCTATAAGCTCACAGGGGCTGTGATGCATTATGGGAACATGAAATTCAAGCAAAAGCAGCGTGAGGAGCAAGCTGAGCCAGATGGCACCGAAGGTACCAAATGAATCTCCATCTGGGTTTAATGAGAGAATGCAGGCAAAAACATCCATTTCAAAACTCAAGTCTCCTTTATAGCTGAGCTCCTGATGGACAAACTCAAATGTACCCACATACAGACTTTCTACAAAGTAATTCACTCTGCCCCTGTGAACTGTGGGTCCCAGAGTAGGTAAAGTTGAGTATCTGAATTGTTTCTGCAGTTGCTGACAAGGCGGCCTATCTCCAAAATCTGAACTCTGCAGATCTGCTCAAAGCCCTCTGTTACCCCAGGGTCAAGGTCGGCAATGAATATGTCACCAAAGGTCAAACTGTGCAGCAGGTAAGTGCATGACCTCAAGGAATCACACACATTGATGGCCTTCATGACATGTCTTTAATAACAACAACAAACCTTATCTGTGAAGGTGTACAACGCTGTGGGTGCTCTGGCCAAAGCCGTCTACGATAAGATGTTCCTGTGGATGGTCACCCGTATCAACCAGCAGCTGGACACCAAGCAGCCCAGGCAGTACTTCATCGGGGTCTTGGACATTGCTGGCTTTGAGATCTTTGATGTGAGTTAGCAGAAAAATAGTACCAAAAAAAGTTTCCAAGAAGCAGTCCTGTTGCTGCAGTCATACAGCATGACTGTAGTCACTGATGGAAAGGGTCTATGAAAAATAGCTGCACTATAAACTTAACTGACACATGAAAGAGCACCAAAAGACCATAAAAGGAAATGAACTTTGGAATGAGACAGACCTGGATTCAAACTCCTGCTCTGCCCATTACTAGCTGTGTAATAATGGGAATGGTACCTGATTGATCATTGGGCAAATTCGACTAGGCCCTGTAGGTAAAGCACATAGCATTCCAGATCACAGACTCACTTCTGAGATCTGTCTGTTGGTTCAAGATTTCTGAATATTCAGCCCTTAACACAGTCCCCAGTACTCAGTAAATGATAAGATAGTGAGGGCAACAATAAGATCAAAGATGGCAGTGGAGAAGACAATGACAAATTAAAAGAGACTTTAAGATTCCTGTTTGCCTAATTAAAAGAAATGAAATGTATTTAATTATTAGGATAACCTCTACAATATGTGGTTATTGAGCATAGAAATGGCATTGTAAATAAACTCAAATTTGTCTGCCTAAGAAGGAATACCTGCTACACAGCTTAGGAAATAAGGCTACTGAAATCCTCTACCTGACAGCAGTATCATGGATGTGTCTCATCTAGAGGTTGCACTTCTAAACTTTTATCTACACATGAACTGGAAACTGGATGAAATTTTTGAAACAGAGGCACTTCCAGACATTTCCAAGCCAACATGGGAAGAAAGGAATAATCTGTCATCAAGCAGGAACAGAAAAAGCAATCCATACTTTTTAATAAGAGAACTAATAACAGGATACTTGCAAGCTTTTTGAGTTTTTTTTTTTTTGAAGCAACAGTTTTATTGAGATATAATTAATATACCATACAATTCACCTATTTAAGGTATACGATTCAATGGTTTTTAGTATATTCACAGGCATATGCTATAATAACAATTTTAGAACACCTTCATCACCCCAATAGGAAATTCCATTTTGTCCTCATTTTGTCCTCCCTCAGGCCATAGAAACACCTAATCTACGTTCCGTCTTTGGATTTGACTGTTCTGGACATGTCATATAATGGAATTGGATAATAGGTGGACTTTGTGACTGGCTTCTTGCACTTAGCATATGCTTGCCAGATTCATCCCCCTCATAGAACTCACTGAATAATATAGCAGGGGAGATGTACTCAAATTCTGGGAGCAGTTACAAACATGGGCTCTGGCATCAAAATATTGTGGTTCCTGCCATGACTGTTACTACCATAGTCTTGCACAAGTTACTTAGCCTCTCTAATAGTGTTTCCTCACCCATGAAATGAGCAAATGATACCACTTACAAAGGCAGCTGTGAGGATTAAATGCAGTAATTTATACAAAGCACTTAGCATAGTGCTTATTGTTGAGTAAATGTTTACCAAATATTAGCTGCTGAATTTTTACTATTAAGGACAACATACAGACCATAATGGCTCAGATCCAGCAAACTTGGCTAGTTTACAACGTAATCATAAATCATTAAGAAACTTCTAACCAATGAAAACAAATACTGTAAAAACCAAACAACCTTTTTTTTTTTAACTTTTAAGTTCAGGGGTACATGTGCAGGTTTGTTACATAGGTAAACTTGTGCCACTCAGGTATTAAGCCTAGTACCCATTAGTTATTTGTTCTGATCCCCTCCCTCCTCCCACTTTCCACCCTCCAAGAGGCCCCCGTGTATGTTATTTCTATGTGTCCATGTGTTCTTATCATTTAGCTCCCACTTATATGTGAGAACATGCAGTATTTGGTTTTCTGTTCCTGTGTTAGTTTGCTAAGAATAATGGCTTCTAGCTCCAAACAACTTTTTTTATTACACAGGAAAGCATCATTCAGAGCTTGTTTATGAGTGCTGAAGAGATAATTTTAACAAGTATGGTAATGGCAGCAAAAACTTTATTGCATAGGTGTAAGTAGGAGAAAAATGATACCATCCTAGGAGGTCAATTTGGCTAACTAAAAAAATACCCCTTTCAAAGAGAAGATTTCATCATCAATTGAATGCTAATTTGTATTTTCCACTCATTTAGTTCAACAGCCTGGAGCAGCTGTGCATCAACTTCACCAACGAGAAACTGCAACAGTTTTTCAACCACCACATGTTCGTGCTGGAGCAGGAGGAGTACAAGAAGGAAGGCATCGAGTGGGAGTTCATTGACTTCGGGATGGACCTGGCTGCCTGCATCGAGCTCATCGAGAAGGTTGGCTTGCTTTTTGCAGACCACAGATCATACTGCTGTACAGTATTTAAGAGAAAATTATAAAATCTTGATATAGGCAATGGTTAAATAAGGAGAATTCCTTATTTAACTTGCTCTTCACAAGTAGAAGACTTGTGAAAAACATGAGAATTCCTAATTTTGCCAACTCTGAGGTAGATATTCTGGTAAAAGGAGATTAAATTTTTCTATAGAGTCCAGAACTCAACACTTACCAGTTTGCAATACAAAGTCTTACATTTAAAGTCATCTTTCCTTACAAAAAGTGCACTGACTAGAATATTTCTTACTTATTATTTCTTGGTCATCCTAAAGTCATTATTACTACATTAAAGTATGAATTTCTACTACTGTACTTCAGAGCAGCAGCTTTTAAAATCCAATGTGCAAAAGACTCACCAAGGATGCCTGGTACAATTGCAGGTTTCCCTCGTCTCACTCCTAGAAATACCTTCTGGTAAGTGTAGGATGAAACATCGGAATCCTCATTTTGAACAAGTGATTCTGATGCAGCGAATTTGCAACTCACACTTGGAGAAATATCGCTCTAAGGTCTTTGGGGTAAAGACACAAACTCCACAGGTACATAGACCTCATCTGTCTTACTCTGTCATGTCCCAGAGCTTGAAACAGCACGTGACTCCTGATGTGCACCCAATAAATATTTAAGTTAATGACTTCTGACAGAGCAATAAGTTTTCGTTACCTCTGTAGAATTAAAGGGTGAATTTACTCAGATGGGATCATTATTAATGTCACATGTTATTTCTATAAGCAAACAGAATTCAAGGGGCATTTTTTTTTTTTCATTCTTCCAGCCCATGGGCATCTTCTCCATCCTGGAAGAGGAGTGCATGTTCCCCAAGGCAACAGACACCTCCTTCAAGAACAAGCTGTATGAACAACATCTTGGAAAGTCCAACAACTTCCAGAAGCCCAAGCCTGCCAAAGGCAAGCCTGAGGCCCACTTCTCGCTGATCCACTATGCAGGCACCGTGGACTACAACATTGCAGGCTGGCTCGACAAGAACAAGGACCCCCTGAATGAGACAGTGGTCGGGCTGTACCAGAAGTCTGCAATGAAGACTCTGGCTTACCTCTTTTCTGGGGCAGCAGCAGCAGAAGCCGGTAATTTTCAGTAAACTTAATCTTTTACCTAAGGTATAAAACATAACCAGAGGTCGGGCACAGTGGCTCATGCCTATAATCCCAGCATTTTGGGAGGCCGAGGCAGGTTGGATTACCTGAGGTCAGGAATTCAAGACCAGCCTGGTCAACATGGTGAAACCTCGTCTCTACTAAAAATACAAAAACTAGCTGGGTGTGGTGGCGGGCACCTACAATCCCAGATACTTGGGAGGCTGAGGGAGGAAACTCGCTTGAACCTGGAAGGTGGAGGCTATAGTGAGCCGAGATCACGCCACTGCACTCCAGCCTAGGCAATCAAGAGTGAAACTCTGTCTCAAAAACAAACGAACCAACAAAACCATAACCAGAGAAAGCCTGTCCTATGACTGCTTTCTTTTTCCCCTCAGAGGCTGGTGGCGGTGGAAAGAAAGGTGGCAAGAAGAAGGGTTCTTCTTTCCAGACCGTGTCTGCTCTCTTCAGGGTACAAACTTCATTTTCTTTGTCTAATTAGATTTAGGATATTAAATGTACTTTACTGTGTGGGGAAAAAATCTTCCAAGGATTTTAGAACTGGATGTGACTCAAAGAGATAGTTCGGCTGGTAGCGGTAAAACTGAGTTTTAGGGAGCTTGAACATAGTTTGGAAGAGATTCCTCACTATTCAGAAGACACACGAGTCAGGCGAGATGAAAATGATTTGCAGAAGTCAGTATCAAATGGTGAAATTCAATCTGGGACCTGAGAATGAGGTCATTTAACACTTAAAAGGCTCTACTGGGATAGGATTAAGTATACTAAGACTTGCTTGAGGCTGTGGGAGCCTCCAGGTGATTTAGGTACTTAAGGCTATATTGGTATAGAACCGAAATGAGTATATTTTGAAAGCTGAAGATAGAACAGTGGTGAGAATTGGAGCCTGAGTCAAAAGAAGAAAATAAGAAACTAGATGTGATAATAAATAGCACTTAAAAAAAATTCACAGCTGAGCATAGTGGCTCATGCCTATAATCCCAGCACTTTGGAAGGCTGAGGTCAGCAGATCACTTGAGGCCTGGAGTTCGAGACTAGCCTGGCCAACATAGTGAAATCCTGTCTCTATCAAAAATACAACACTTAGCCGGGTATGGTGGTTTGTGCCTGTAATCCCAGCTACTTGGGAGGCTGAGGTAGGAGAACTGCTTGAACCTGGAGGCAGAGGTTGCAATGAGCCAATGCACTGCTGCACTCCAGCCTGGGCAACAGAGCAAGACTCTGTCTCAGAAAAAAAAAAGAGAAAAAAGTGGGAGATTTAGAGGAAGGCATTGATTAGTAGTAAAATCAGACCATGTATCTAGGCAAAAAGAGAATGGGTAGAGTATTTGGATATATTTAGAATGTCATAGTGAATTTAAAACATATGCTAGGAAATTCAACAGCAGTGAACAGCCACTTCAACAGCTAGAAGAAAATTATGTTTCTAATGCACAAAAACAGGAGGACATATTGGGAATGCAGAAATTCCAGAGCTAATGCTTTGAAAGTTTATATCTGGATACTTTTCATTAGAATTAAACCAATGTCACAGATCACAATAATTATATCTATAAATATGAATGTACAAAACAGTACATTTTTTAAACTATAACCTCACATGGTTCCACAGGAGAATTTGAATAAGCTGATGACCAACTTGAGGAGCACTCACCCCCACTTTGTGCGGTGCATCATCCCCAATGAAACTAAAACTCCTGGTAAGACATTTCTGATATCCAGACAAGCTCCAGTGTATCTGTGATAGACCATGAAGTATGCCATGTGGATTCATTCTTTTAGGTGCCATGGAGCACGAACTTGTCCTGCACCAGCTGAGGTGTAACGGTGTGCTGGAAGGCATCCGCATCTGTAGGAAAGGATTCCCAAGCAGAATCCTTTATGCAGACTTCAAACAGAGGTCAGACATTTTGGCTGTAAATTATTTTAAGAAGTTTTTATTACTTTTTAAACATTTTTTCAATGAAAGAATCCTTTGTACCTCCTACTTAAATTGAAAAGAATCTCACTTAACAAACTGCATATTGACATAAGAAAAGTCTGAATTCCTTTGTATATTCAGAGGATAAAGGGGTAGATGTGATTTCTTGTTTATATCAGATTACCTAGTGGCTATGTTGTTTCTATAGCCAGGCAGGAAGATTTATTTGTGGTTTGTGACAATAGCCATATCATTTTTGTTTTTTTTTTTTTTGGTCTGGCTTAAACAGATACAAGGTATTAAATGCAAGTGCGATCCCTGAAGGACAATT